TACGTATACGAGAATTTTCAAGAATTGACCCGCTGGACCAGGCTTAAGTCTGTAAAATCATGAAACGTACTCATGTGAACCATGGTTTATGAACAAACTCAACGAACGTCAAAGTCGTCGAAAAAACGACAGAGGACCGACAACGACAGGTGCGGACGATCGTAAATTCGTCAAGTTGGATCCTATATACCTAGTAGCCTGCCCCTTACTGTATACCCTAGCATTTTTGACCAGTTGAACAGGAACACCCTGTAAAATAAATAGTATCACCTATTTTGAAAGCGCGCTCTCGCTTCAAATCATCACGCTATATTTCGAAAACGGTTGGTCCTACAAAAAAATGTATAGGAATAATTTTGTGAAAAATACTATTTTACATAAGTTTTGTTTTGGGTTCTTCACGGCAGATATAAACGTTTTTCGTGACCTTTGACCTTCGATTTTTTGTGCTTCATTAGAACATCAAAACGAAGGTCTCTGCAAAAATTCAGCTTGTTCGGCCTCATTCCGCAGAGGAAGTCTAATGTCCCTGGGGTATTGGACTGGACTGGAATCAGTTGGTGGATTTAAGCTTCCGAGAATCTTCTCTTTGAAGTTTGGCGAGCGGAGCGAACAATCCAGAGGCTCAAAAATATTTTAAAATTTTAAATTTCAAGGTGTTACATTTAATAAAGGTTTTTCACATTTTTTGGTGGATTCACCGGCGAGCAGAGCAAGCAATCGCAAACTCAAAAATATTTTGAACAAGAAGGTGATACGTATATTTGAAAAAGGTTTTTCACGTTTTTGGTGGATTTGCTCTCCCGAGGATCCTCTCTTTGAGGTTTGGCCAGCATAGCGAGCAATCGAAGACTGAAAAATAATTTCAAGGTGTATGCAGAAGGATTTTCAATAGGTTGCCGTCTAAAATAACGCAGATTTCAAACATGAACAAGTTTAAAGTCCAAATTAGAAAGATGTGAGGTACTAATAAAAGCTTATTACTCAGTGGACGAATTTCTTAATGATAATTTTGCAAACAAACAAAATTGTATTAACGCATTTAGCTAGCAAGAATCCGGGCCCAGGGGCCTTATTCTGTAAGCAACAACCGTTCGATTCGGTAGAATTTCTTCGATTGTGACGTCATTTTCGGTTTAGTTTTCGCTCGTTTTCGCGCTACCAAACCTAAAATGACGTCACAATCGAAAAAATTCTACCGAATCGAACGCTTCGTTCCTTACAGAATAACGCCCCAGGGCCCGGATTCCGAACCCACGATTCGATAGTATCGTCTATCGGCAGGTACTTACTTTTGCACGCTTGACGATAGACGATATTATCGAATCGTGGGGTCGGAATCCGGGACTGACTGGTAGAATATACGGATTCTAAAGTAATAAAACACCTCCAGTAGGTGCTTGATCAATTTACGAAAAAGGACCTACCTACCAGTAGGCGCACAATCGTTGGATGACAAAGGACCTACCGTTAGGCGTAGGGTTCACTCCCTATAATTTAATTATTCGCCTCCTAATCTCCAATTTTAATATACAAATAACAAAAACCTGTAATAATACTGATTAGGTCTAACCCAAAGAAAATAAAATACTTTCACGTCAATTTGGCAACGCAGCACTCCTTGCCTTAACATTTTAGAATTGTTTTGTGGTTCCCGCCAAGCTTTTTTACTTCAAAGAGTTGCTGCGCTTATTGCAACTCAGTCGGCTTGGTGTAAAGGCTGTTTTACAGTTTGCAATTTTATCTGCAATATGCAAGAAACTTGAACGGAGACATGCGCAGGAGTGTGTCAGCTGATTGTTTTCTGCAAGATTCTTGAAACTTGAATGGCATTGCATGTAATCGGTTTGGTGCCATTTTTCTTGAAGGGTTTTCTTGCAAGCTGGGGAATTTTTCGGAATAGGCCTATTCACGTGCCAGGAATATGGCAAATTATAACATTTTTTGACGCAGATACATCAATACAACCGAGAATGAACAATATTTTGTAAGATTTTGGTCAGATTATTAAATAAATTGATAAATAAAAATTTTAAATTTAAACAAAAAATCACGTGATTGAAAACGCCCTCTGATTGGCTAAAGCTGATTTTGACGTGCTTGTTGCCACATTTAGAAATGCGAAATTTTAATGAGATTATAAGGATTATACCTATCCTTTATTTTTTTATAATGTAGTAAAGGACGAAAATAGTTTCTAGCTACTTAGTGAAATGTGTAATGATCTACTAATGAGAAATTTGGCATTCTCGCATTTTTATTGATTTTCTGGTTTGTGACGTCACACAGTTTAAAAATTCGATTTTCAAATAATTTTTTTTCCAAAAATAAGCGTTCTTTTTCGGAAAAAAAGTATACAGATAGTATCAGAATGACTAAAAGAATAATTTAAATATGTTTTTGAAAAATGTGAAAGTGGCCAATTATGATACTTGAAGTGGCTACTGTTGCTTTCTTCTTTTCATATCGCCTTATAATAACGTTTTTCATTTTTGGAAAATGCAAACATCAACAACACAAAATTAAAAACATAAAGTATGGTTATGGTTAGAGAAGGAAACAAGTCAAATTGCAAGGTGTAAAACGACGTGCAAAAAATCTTGAATGCAATTTTTTTGCATGCAAAAAATTGCATTGACGTTTTCTTGGAAGCTGTAAAACGGCCTTAAACTAGAGATGTTATGGAATAGCTTTTTCTTGTACCTAGTATGACCTAGAGATGGCTGCCTAATACTGGAACTGATCCCGCGGAACTGATCTTCACAGTGGAAACTGATCCAAACTGATCCCTGATCCACTGCAAAATAAACAGGTCCAAGTTCGAGTCCGGACCACTTTTGCTTTGTCTACGTTGTATAGACTCGGATTAGGACTCGGACTCGGACTCCAACTCCAACTCGGACTCAGACTCGGATTAATCGGATCGCGCTGCGCCGGCCGGCGGAACAGGGAAAAGTTCGGACTCGGACTAGGAACGCGGACTCAGAGACGGAGTACACTACACCGACAGACTCGTTTCGATCAACAGCTCGGAATCACGCAGCACTGGCGCAGCCGCTGGACCAGAGAGAGTGCAAGAGTGAACTGACGATAGGATATACATGGAACCGAGCATGGAACGGAACAGAAAAAGCTGATCTAGGTGCTATGATGCTAGATGTTGTCTAGGGAATTTAGCAACCCTTTTGCTGTTTTTGCCAAAATAGGAAAACCCAGTGTTTCGGTTCGGTTTATCGTTCATCGGTTTTCAGTTCGAAGCGGACCGGATCAGTTCGAAACTGATCCGTGAAATTTGTTGGATCAGCCATCCCTAGTATGACCTGTACCTTCTCCCAACACAACCCTATTCCAAGTAGTCCAAGTACCTGTTCCAGCTCCAAAGTATTTCCTGTCAAACTCAGTGATTCACATAATCGCTGACTGGTGGCTAGCGCTATTATTAGAGGTTAGAACATTAACGAACATTAATAAACGCGTCTTTCATTAAATCGAATACCGATTGATGATTCGAATGCTGGCAAGTGACAATCCAGTGTAGCAGATTCTACTATTCCATTGAATTAATATACTAGAGGTATTTTCTGGCGTCTCAAAGTTTTAAAACATTTTTCAAAACTTGTTTAAAACAGTTTCACAATGACGTCATAATTTCTCGGCGCAAGAAAATGGGTTTAAAACGTGGATTGAATTGTATTTCGAAATGGGTTGAACCAATTTTGATGTGACGTCATGGGTTCATCGCGAGAATATACTATTTCAAACCTGTTTCAATAAAGTGAACGCGAGAAAACAGCTTTGGTTTAGGGAAAACACGTGACGTGCTAGCGCCTGCTCTGCGAACTCGGAACAGGTAAATCTAATATTTGGTAATAGGTACACGGAACAGGCAGGTCATAGCTATTCCAAAAGAACAGGACCAGTTCCAGGGTAACATCCCTACCTTAGGCGATTTTCAGCCTGGAATGATTATTTAGCGGTAAATACCGTGGTTATTCTTTTGATTGACAACTTTGACAGCCAAGTGTGATGTCATAGCCCCCCACCATTCAAGAATCATAACCCAAGGAACTGACCGCTGAAATGATTTGGTTATAGCAGTGTAGGATTAGGTTTATTGTTCTTATTTGTTTTTTCGTTTCAACAATAGTTTTTTGTTTAGGTACAAAAAATGGAGTTGATATCTCGTTAGTCTCGTTTATCGAACAGATTTTCTTTGGGGATGATCTAAACCTCGATCTAAACATGGTGAATTGCAGTGAGTGAGTGAATGTATACTTCTTTCATATTGCCAGGCTACAACGCAAATGCAAAATCACAAAACACCAATACAAATTCCAAAAATAATAACAATAACATCAAAAAGCTATAACCAAAAGATTAACCCAAGTCCACAGCTGGGTTATAATCGGTTATAAGTGGTAAATACCAAAAGCAAATCAGCTGATATGTGACGTCACAACTTCCCCTACTTTGGTTAAAACCGCGACGGCGGAAATGCATTGGTTATAACCAAATAATAATCATTACAGGCTGAAAATCGCCTCTTAAACGGATGTGTTATCAAATTTGAGTTGAGGCGAGCTGTGTGTTTATGTCAATAGTCGCAAAACTGCGGCAAAACTGCAACTGTTCCTCTAATGTAACGACAGAATAGAAAACAAAAACTCGACAGCAACTAATTTTTGTCTGTTTAGTGTGAACAGTTTTATCGTTGAAAACAGTTGAGTTTTTCTTTTTTAAAACAGCAACTCAACTAGTCGGTTTGCTGTAAAACCGCCATGAGTACATGAACTTTATCTCGGAATAAAATGACAATCCGACAACGCCGTTATACGTAAACCAATCAAAATCGTTTTTGAAAATCTGAAATTATTGACAAATGACGATTCTTTCTGGCTTTCGCTTTCCTCCAAAATGAAAATCAAAACCAAAACTAACAAATCAGTATAAATAAAATGTTGACGTTAGCAATGAAAAAAATCTATATGATTTCAACTTACTTTGAAGTGGACTCTCAAGTTTGAGCCGCGGGCCTTGCAGTATTCGGCGGAATTATCGGGTTCGCGAGCGTATCGTCCCATTTTATACCTGAACCTGAAAATAAGAGAAACGGCGAGAATTTTACCACTATATGCACCGACTTTTTTACTTAAACCCCAACTATCGACAATACGTGAAAAAGTTTACACCGAAATATTACAGATGGTGAACTAAAAGCTTTTTATGTAATGATGGCTTTCCATTTACGAGATAATATTGGATTTTTAAATTATTTTGATCGGCCATGGACTTACCTTAAGCGGAGACGCTACTCAAAGTTTAAACTCTGACTGAAGAAGAGGAAAAAATCAAAATGCTTCTTGCACCAAACAACTGCAACCAACCTCACTTACCTCAACAAAATTGACGGCTGACAGTCTGTCAGTTTCACACATACTCGCAGCGTTGCCAGATGTCAAATTTAAAATTATCAGGATTTGAGAACAAAATTATCAGATTCCAAGAAAAATTATCAGAAAAAGTTTCTGTCAACTTTTTTGACTTTTTATCTCTTTTTTCATTTTTCTGGTTCTAGCTGAGACTCTGGGACTAGTGTTTGGTGCTCTCACCAGTACATCAAAATCAACAAAAATCTTCAATTTTTTAAATTAATTCTTAATTTTTATCTAAAAATTTGAAAAATTTGTATTAAAATTGTAGTTTCAATAAATTATGGTAGATTAACTCGTCATATTGATTAAAGAATCGTAGTCAAAATTATGGTAGAATTCAATAATTATCGGGTCATTGGCAACACTGCATACTCGGTTCGGCTTGCTCGCTTCGTTTTTGGTAATCGCGGCCTTATTGGTGTATCACCATTGCTGACGTCATAAACTAAGTCGTCAGCTGTTTGCGCCGGCGATCCTAGTTTAGAATTTAAATTTATGATGGAAAATATCATTTAATTTTGACCAACATAATAGGCAAAGAGGAAGATGCAAACGAGATCTGAAAAGAAACGAGAAGTGAAAACTCTGAAAGAAAAAGTTGCCAACTCTAGAGTAGACTATAGAAAAAAGAAAATTATATAGGAAAAAAAAAAAAACATAAACTCACAATAGTATATTGTGTATTTAGGTGGAAAAGTGACACATTCTCGGCCGACGGTGTAAGTTGACGGGCGAGGCGTAGCCGAGGCTGGCAAACACCGAAGGCCGAGAATGTGATTTTCTACCGAAATACACTTACTATTTTTTCTGCGATCGGTTAAATACCTGTTAAATGTTTGTTTTTAGTTCCAATCATTCAGCGGTACGAGAATCACTTTCCCGGCCTAGGCCGGAAAAGTGTTTGCCGTATTGTTATTCATTGATTCCTTAGCAACTACCTATTGAAACATAATTGAAAAACCAGAATATTGCGTTTTGCGACCAGTTAACCGGTCAAAAATGCTGACATTTCTTGTCAATCGCAGAAAAAGCTAATTATGTGATTTAATTTCTGTTTTTCCGGATAATATTATCAATGCCTTTATAAAATCCAATTATTTTGAAGAAGTTTACGCCTTTTTGCTGCGATCGTTTTCCGTTTATAAAACCACAGTTTAGTTCATATTTTACCTTAAGGTGGGTGGCATTAATTACATTTGAAATCTGTCAGTTCTGTGCTCTGATTGGTTGATTTTTTAAAATTCGTCTGCAAAAAGAAAAAAAAACCTCACATCAGAATTGGTTTAAAATTGGCATAAACATTCTTTGATCGATTATCTACAATCCGAATATTTCGGTTTTTCGATATTTTGCGGGATTTTAGAAATTATCCATAACGACTATAGGCAACCAGGGCTGGAACTCTGTAATGGATAGAGATCGTTATCTCTATCGCTATGGCCACAGCCTCCTACATTTAACAAGCCATGAAGTTAAAAAGGCAACACCGCAATCTTACCGCCAAGTGGTGCTGGTGGTGTTTGTTTGTATAAATATATATTTTTTATTTTATTAATATGAATCACAAAAAATGCATAATTTATTGTACTAAAGGGCCAAAAACAGTAATTCAATGAATAATTTAACTATTTGTGTAAATAAGAACAGTAAATAATTGATTTAAATGAATATATTTCTAGAGTCTAAAGTGTTATGTTTCAGTATGTCTTTTGAAAATCTAACTTTTTCTTTCTTCGGGATTTTTTCAGAAGGCAAGTCCATCAAATACTTGAGCTGATTTTCGAAAATAAGAGGTACCTACTTTTAAAAGTTGGACGTTTTAGTTTGAACTCTTGAACTATGGCTTTATATCCTTGTTTGTTTCAAATCTAATTATTTCGGTTTCTTCAAAATGTTTAGGTACAACACACCACAGAATTTTTCGTTATTGTATAATCTCGGGTATAATTATCTTGGTGTATTGCTTTCATCCACATTTTTTGCACTTCAGAATTTTTTTGGAAATAAAAATGTTTGCATTTCTTCAGTTTTTAAGGAACTCCTAATAGTTCGATTTGCACCCAGGAACACAGTAGTTTCATGGCATCTGGAACAAGTTTGAATATCTCTAAGGTAATATATCGAGAACTATGCTCTTGCAGACAAATATTAATATTGTTTTTATTGTTTTACCTTACCTTACCTTCATTTTTGCTCCTGTACCCATTTGCTAAAAATTTGCAATCAAAGCACAAAGGAACAGGTATCAACTAAATATGGGCAATATATTGGTGTGTTTCTATCCACTTTTTCGTCAATAATGCCCATAAAAATACTAAATTGCAACAATACACAATGAAAGCAATACACAGAAACACATAACCCAATAACAAAATAGCACCATACGCGACGTTGCCGTCATTTCCAACTTCATGGCTTGTTAACTATAGGTGGCTGTGCTATGGCACTTGCTACAATGGCTAAATAAACCTTTACATACAGTGGCGACAATAGAGGTTCCGCCACCATCTTGTTCCCAAACTCTTTTTACTTTTAAATAATAATATATAGGATTTAAATGGACATCTATCATAAAAAATTGAAATCGACGTATTTAATGACCATTATTAGGTCCATCAAATACGTTGTTTTCCATGATTTATGATGAATGTACACAGAGCCGGCCCTACCATAAGGCGAACGGAGCCGGCGCTCCAGGCGCCAGGCCTCAGGGGGCGCTCCGACTCGTTCCTTGGTGATAAAAAAAGGAAAGAAAGCAAGCGCGTGGTTAGCATGTGATTAGATAGATAGAGACATATATTACATAATAATATGTAATGTTTCCGAATTTTGAAACGGAGAGGATGGTTGATCTTCGGCAGCTTAAGCTATCTCCACTTGATGTTTTTGACAGAATTTGCAAATTAAAGCAAAGTCTCGGTGTTGGGCCAGCAGATGGCATACCGTTTGTTTCCCTAGAAGGCTGCAGGTTTGTTCCGTCTCAAATTTTGTGTGATATTTTCAATATGTCATTGTCTATTGGTATCTATCAGACATTGAAAATTATCGAGCAATATCAAAGGTCTCCTGGTAGCCAATGTTTTTGAAGGTATTGTTGCAGATAAAATCATCCCAAATTTTACGAATGTCGAATGTCATTATCAATGGACAACATGGTTTCATGAAGGAAATATCCACCATAACAATGATCAAAATCCATGCTCGAGCATATATACTTCATTCATACATATAAGGAATTCATTTGCATTTTATTACTATTTAATAGTCATAAACAGGAGCTGAAACCCAGCAGAAGGTAGATCTTAGGTGCTTTTCAGTGACCCATTTGAGTTACTCTGAGCAGCTCAGGAGTGCTCCACAATTATTTTGCGCGTTCCAGTGCTTAGAGTGTCTTAAGCCTAGTCTCCATGGACGCGTAATCGCGAATTTTTTTTTGCGGATATTTTCCGATTGGTTGGAATTTGACATTTAACATTTGATTTTTTTATGGCGGGAAAAATTCGCGAATTTTTTAACTTCTTGCGGCGTCGCAAAAAAGTTAACTATTTTTTAACTTTCCGCGAAATTTCGCCAAAAAAAAATGAGGTTATGTGGTGTTACTTTCAGTTTAGTTTTGTTTATGTTTTTGTCGGTATGTGCTCTGTTCTGTGCTCTGTCCTCTGTGAGTCGTTGATGTGTTTTGTACTTGTAGATACCTAATAAAGAATGGATACTGCCAAAGAATTAAATATTGTAGACCCGAAAACAGACATAAATTACAGTTTGCTGGTTGATGAGGAAAATTATAATAGGGCCTTAAATGTAATTAAGACAACACCAAGACACATATCTTTTTTTGTTTTTTAGTAATCACTTTCATGGTTTTCAAAGATTAGTGTTTGAAATTCAAAGCATTTAAATCAAATTCAAATTGATTACAAACAACAACACATAGGTAACCTTAACCTGTTAAATAAAACGCGAATTTCGCGTTTATGGAGACATGGGAATAATTTGCTCGGAAATAGCCACCAAAAAATGACACTTAAAAAATTAGCTTTCCGCGATTTCGCGTCTATGGAGACTAGGCTTTACACTTAAACTACTCATTTCTGTTATCCCCTGCCCCCTCGTGCACCAACCTTTATTTCGGTGTTTCATGCTCCTGTGGGCCCGGATTCCAATTGACAATACGATATCGGATTAGGCGCTTTCGGTGAAATTCACGATTCCCATTCGAGGTCGCTTCGAATAGAACGATATCGGATTACTCGCCAGCTCTAAGATGGTGAATTGCTCGCTTTCGACATGAAATTGACAACATTGACACGTTTTGTTGTTATTTTTCTATTCTTTACGACTTGAATGATTTTTCTATGGAAAGGGAATGTCCAGTGCAGATTTTGATAAAATTAGGGACTGAATTATGGTACATCCCTTCAGCCAGAAAATTATTTAAATATTTCTAGCAATCAATCGTCTTATTTGTTTTTCGTCGAGCAATTCCTATTGTAGACGATTGTGAATAATATTGGAAGCATTTTTCAGTTTAACCTTTAAAGACACTATCTATTAGTAGCTACCTACATAAAGAAATTTCAATAAACAAGTTGAAAGTAGACATATAAAGTGGTACCTACTTAACCTACTCATTGGTACCTACTGAAAATTCTAATTACCTAGCCTTATTAGTGGTCCTCACAATAGTGAGAAGAAAAATATACGGTTGCTACGGATTTCGATACCGACCTATCCGTTGGTGAATACGATTTCGAATGGGAACTCCGGATTGCTCGATATCGTATTTGGTATCGAGTACGAAAGCGATTCGATTTCGTGATCTCGATAGCAAATGGAATCCCCTAGCTGAAGTCCGAAATGGTGGGGGTTAAGATGAGAGCGTTCCAGTGCTACTTATGTCGAACAGTTCAAGAGCGTCACACTCCAGGAGCATGATACTCTAACAATTAAAGCACTGAAAAGCAACTCTTAG